TACAAGAATCCCTAAGCAAATTGGGAGCAAAGAGAGGGGAGGAAGGGGATGGGAAGGGGAGAAGGGAAGGAGGGAGGAGAACAGGAGGATTGAGAGAGGGGAGGAATAGAGGAGGGCAAGAAAGGAGATGCCTTGATAGAGGGAGCCAGTACAGGTTTGGAGAGAGGTCTGGCACAGGGGAAATGTTTGGGAATCCACAGGGATGACCCCAACTAAGAATCTAGGTAGTGGTGGAGAGGCTGCCTTTCATGTCCTTCCCCTATAATGAGACTGATGACTACATTGGTTGCCATTCCTAGAGCCTTCATCCAGTAGCTGATGGAAGCAGAAACAGGCACCCACAGCTAAATACTGAGCCATACTCTTGGTATCCAATTGCAGAGAGGGAGGAGGGATGAGCAAAGAAGCCAAGATGGTGCTGGAGAAACCCACAGAAACAGTTGACCTGACTTAATGAGAGCACGGAGACCCTAGTTGTAAAAGTTGGAGAACCAACCTCTGAATGTGGGTGACAGCTAGGAGGCCAGAGCAGTCTATGGTGTCTCCAACAGTGGAGCCAGTGCTTATCCCTAGAGCACAAATGGATTTTGGGAGTCCATTCCCTATGGAGAGATACTATTGCAGCCCAGTAACGGGAAGGAGGACCTGGGACCTCCCCCAGATGATATGATGGACTTTGATAGTCTCCTGTGGACTGCTTCAGTATCCCTAGGGATCGGGTGGGGGTTGGTTGGGAAGTTGGTGGGGAGCATGGGAGGATGGGAGGTCGAAGGAATGGGGGTATTAGTTATGTAAATAAGAGTGCTTCTAAAATAAAAAAATATTTTAAAAAAAGAGAATCCTTAACTCTCTGTCTCCTCCATTCACACCCTGAGTTCTTGGTTTATCAGCTGTGAACTACACCTATTTGCAATACCACCCCCAAGTCTCCTGTCCCCAGTGTCACCTTCTGCACTGTAGTCACTTCTCCTCCCTGATTCTATCCCTGCCTAGCTCCTATTGATTGTCTCAGACGCACCCGCACACCATCTCTGCCAGAAGGCCTTTCCCTACCCTCATTTTCATTCATCCTCTGCATTTCCATAACATCTTGTTTGTATTCCCATCACAGGGGTAATGGCTGCATCATGGTCCATATATTTGAGGTGAACTTTACCTACAGTAGGTGAAGAGTCCCAAGATCTTGCTCGACTACTGGAATATATTTTATTTGGAGATTTGTCTTCTTGAGCCTTCCCTCAAGCACTGCGATCATAAGGAAAGCTTCTTAATGTCCCTGACCTTAATTTCCTTCATTTAAGAAATGGGAAAGTCATGCTTCTCATATCTATTTTCATCGGGCTGGAATACTATAGGGATTAAACAGCACAAATACATGAAATGTTTGGAACAGTGCCTATTAGCAATGCTGAAGATACTAGAAAATATTAGCATTCAAAACTATTTACTAATATTTATTTTCTTTGTTATAGGCAATAAACAACTAAATAGTAATCAACATTTTAAGGGCATTTTCTTAACCCTGAAATCAAGTAGGTTAAGCTAACTGAGACTTTGGATTGGGGCCCAGTCCTCATGCCTTCACCCAAAGCCCTGTCTGTGTCTGGGATCCTGCAACCAACATTCCATAACCAAAGTTTGAGTCTTTTGACTTGAGACTTGTTCTGCCCTTAAATCACAAAGACCACATAAAGTCTTATCAATCATTTATAATGCCCTCATTGAAGTCGTCCCAGACAAGCCCAGATGGAAATAATAATAACTCATATTTGTGTGTTCTTTGCAATTTCCAAAGTACCCTCACACGCTCTTGTTCCTGTGATTCCCACGGCGCAGCAGTGCCGTGGGAGAGGAGTAGGCATGACTATGATTATTACCATTTCAGGGATGCGAGCACTGGGACTTACAGAGAGCTAAGAAGCCGGGTTCCCGGGAGGGTGCAGCCATGTCCTCAGGCTTCACTGATGGGTTTTGTGACTTCCCACTTCATTGTGCTTGTGTAGCCAGAGGAACTCTTGAGCAGCAGTACAGCATTCAGAGCCACGCTGTAGTGAGTTCATGTCCTACTCTGTCACTTGCTGGCTAATCCTGGGGAAAGCATCACTTGTATGTACTTCAAGGTAAGCACAGATGATGTGTATTGAGTAGAGTTGTTGTGAGATGGACTGAAGCCACCCATCTTAAGCCCTTAGTCAATGGATGGTAGTCATTGTCACTGACATTATTTTCTTGTTTTAACTTTCTTATTTATTATTTTTTTATTCTTTCACATCATGCATCTACTACTATAGAGCCCTCATCCAGTAATTGATGGAACTGGATCTGGAGACCCACAACCAAGCACCAGGCCGAGCTCTGGAAATCCAGTCAAAAAGAGGGAGGAGGGAACATATGAGCAAGGGAGGTCAAGATCTCTACAGAGAGAGATGAACCAAGCTTGTGGCAACTCATGAACTCTAGACCAGCAGCTATGAAGACTTCAAGGTACCGAACTAGACCCTACATATGTGGGAGACAGTTGTGAAGCTTGGACTATCTGAGGGGCCCCTGGCAGTAGGACCATGATTCAAACCTGGTACATGAGCCAGCCTGTTAGAGCCCATTCCCTATGGTGGGATGACATCCTCAGCCTTAATGTATGGGAGAGGGACTTGGTCCTGCCCCAACTATTGTGCCAGACTTTGTTGATTCCTCATGTCCATACCTGTGAGGATGTGTGGACTGATGGTGGGCTGGTGGGGGAGGGGAGGGAGGCAAGAGGAGGTGTGGGAGAGAGTACTGTGGTTGGAAGTTAAGATGAAATTTAAAAGAATAAACAAATTATAAAAAAGATTCAATGCAATCTTAATCAAAATTCCCACAACATTTTCCACAGAAATACAAAAAACAAAAATGCTAAAATTCAAAGGGAACCACAAAAGACCCCAGATAGGCAAAGCAATCCTGACCTAAAGGAGCAATGCTGGGGGATTGTCATCCCAGATTTCCAGCTATGTTACAGAGCCATAGAAAGAAACACGATATCGAGCTAGCACAAAACCAGACATGTCATCAATGGAACCAAATAAAAGACCCAAACACAAGTGCAAATAACTATATCTGACAAAGATGCAAAAAAAAAAAACACTGCAGGGAACATAATATCTTCAACAAATGGTGCTAGGAAAACTAGGTGTCTACATGTAGAAGTTGGATCACCTGAAGCCAGAGTTACCAGTGATTTGTAAGAACACTGACATGGTAGACTCATATCCATCAATCCACACAAAAAGTAACCCCAAACGGATGAAAGGCCTCAGTATGAAACTTGAGATGTAAAGATACCTAGAAGAAAACATGGGCTGCACTCTATAAGGTACAGGTTAAGACTTTCTGAATAGGGCTCCACTTTCTCAGGAACTGAGGCCAATAATTGCTAAATAGTACCTCATAAAACTAAAATGCTTCTGCATAGCAAAGGGAGCAATCAGATGAGCAAAGAAGAGACACATGGAGTAAGAGAAAGGACTAATATCCAGAATCCATAAAGAACTCAAAAGCAGAGTCAAGAAAACACATTTCCCAATTGTAAAATGTGCTACATCTTTGATCTCCAATGAAGAAATAAAATGGTGTATTGCCTGTAAGAAGAAAGATAATGGTGCCTCACACTGAGACACCACTTGCATATTTTCACATTCACCTTTTTGTTGCTGTTGTTTTATCTTGACAATTGCTTTGTGGCATAGTTTTTCATTTCCATGATTTAAAAAATATTTTTAAATTTAATTAACTTTATTTTATGTGTATAGGTGTTTGGGTACATTTATATCTGTGTGCCACATACATTCCTGGTGTTCTTGCAGGCCAGAAAAAGGGGTTAGATATTCTGAAACTGGCATTACAGACACACGTGAGCCAACACATGGGTTCTGGAAATCAAACCCAGGCTCCCAGGAAGAACAGCCAGTGCTCTTAACTACTGAGATATTTCTCCAGCCCCTCCACGATCTTTTAGAAAAGAAAAAAAAAGTTGTTTTAAAGATCCTTGGCTAGCTTGATAATTGATGAAACAACACAACAGGGATGGTTGGTTGCTACTTGGACCAGGACTCCTTAATATGATTGCTTCCTGTAGCACGTTTAGCTAAGGTGAAGGTCAGTTCAGCTGTGACAGGCCTGAGGTTGTGCTGACATGGATTGTTAGAAATTTTGGGTTGTTAGAAGCATTATCTGATCTATACAACAGTTCTGAGCCCCGATTCCAACAGCACCCACGAAACAACCGCTATTCCTGTTCATATCACAATTCAAAAGCCCATAGAGGCTAAATGATAACTTCTCTTGGGATTTCCCAAGGGCAAAGACCAAAAAGAAAAAAAAAGCACACACACACACACACACACACACACACACACACACACACACACACACACACAGAGAGAGAGAGAGAGAGAGAGAGAGAGAGAGAGAGAGAGAGAGAGAGAGAGAGAGAGAGAGAGAGTTTTGAAAGAGCAAAGAGCCCATTAAAGGAACCTGCTTCTGCTCCTTAGTGAATGCGGTACCTGAGGAAAAGCCCTGCAGCCCCAGTACACTCACGACCAGCCTAGTGTTAGAATGCACCACTCAGAGGAATGCCTGCATTGGATAGGAAAATAAAATAATAAAAGAGCAGCTGCCTTTCCAGAGTCTGGCGATTTTACCACATGCAGTATGCGGCATGATTGCCCATCCAGTGCCCTCATTTATTTATTGTGTAGTTGGTATTTGCGTTTCCACTTACTCCCTCGAAACGTGACAGCAAAGACAAATGCATTTACTCAAAAGCCCAAAAGGCGGAAATGGCAGGCGTAGGATGTGATAAAAGTCCATTGGAGTTGACATCCTCTATACTGCTCCCTAGAAGAAACAGGACCAGTAAAACACGTATGCAGAGGCCCTTTATTGCCTTGCGGGGCTCTCCCCCATGTCCTTTTCACTTCCGGGTCAGGAGGGAAGATCCAAGACAGGGCAGCCGGGCATGAAGTCACCCCCTGGATTCCCACACTTCCTTTATAGCTTTCATTCCTCCCAAAGTAGCTGCAAGAAGGACGTGAGGTGAATATTAAAAGCCCCAGGCTGGAAGACCTGCTTAGTTCAACCCCAGTCCCCCTAGCCCCGGGACTTCAAAGCGAAAGGAAGCGCGTGCAGAGAGGGAGGAGGTTTGGGTCCTCCCCGCGGCCCCTGTGAGCTGTGAACATTTGCAGACCCGCGCCCAGCTCGCACCAGGTGTCCGGAGCTGCTGCCCCGCCCCGCCGCGCCCCGCCCCTCCTGCGTCTGCCTTTCATGTGGATCAAGGCCTGAAGATGACAAGTCTCCTGACTGATAGATACACCGAGGCTTCGCTGGTGATTTATTGGCTTTCTGCACCTGACTAGAACCACTAGGTCTATCCGAGGAAGGAAATATATGGGCTTTTCTGACTCCAAGTGGCAGCCCCGGGGCGAGCATGTGATGTCAAGCTGGGCCGTGGAAAGCAGAGCTGTGCACCGGCTTGTGTTTTGTAAGCGGGTCCAGGTCATAAAAGTGTCAGCACGCGATATATTTCTTGTGGGGGATCCTCTCTGGGCTGTGGCCAGCACCCTTTCTCCAGTGGCTGGCAGCTGAGTTGGCTGAGAATGTCCCTGTCTCCTTAGTTCAGGATGATGCTGGGGCCCAAGGCTCCCAGTCACACCTCTTTTACTTCCTAGAGCAGAGCACGGTGCAGTGATAGGGGCTTTCTAAAGCCAGAGGCACAGCGTTCTTGTCCTTCCTCCAGTCTGGGGTCTCTCCTGTCACATTTGGCCTTCAGCAGAGAACAGGCTCAGAGTCTGCAATCAGGTAACCTGGATGGGAATTCTTGTTAGATGGGGCGGGGAGGGGGGGATTCGAAGCAAGTTACATCATCACTCTGCACCTGCTTCCTCATCTGTTACTAGAAATGACATTAATACTAAACATGGGGCAGGGAGGATTAGCACAGGAAGCAAAGCCCTACCCCTACCAAAAGGATGATGAAAGTCATACACCGAAGTCCCTAAGCAAAGGGAGCACAAAAGACCTGCCCGGGGCCCACAAAACAATAAGCAGGGCTCTTCGTTGGAGATGAAGCCGGGATCCACAATCTGCATTTTGCTTGCAGAGGCTGAGCACTGCCCTGACTCTTAGAAGAGTGGTTATGCCCATCCAAACATAAAAGAGTGATTGAACCCACTGTTTTTAATTAACCTTTTGCTGCCAGGGCTGGTGTTGCTGGGCAGATCTGGTGCTCTGCATGGCCTTGATCTCATAGCAATACTCCAAGATGTATCTTACCACAGCATTAAATCAATAAATGTACTTAGGCTTCTGTAAAGGCAAAGATGAAATTCACCCCTTTTGTCTAAAAGCAATGCTTCTAGACAATGAATATTTCCCTCCCTGGGTCAATTTAATCGTCCTGGTTTTATACCAACGTGGAGGTCCTACCCAAGAAAGATGTGAGAACCTTCTTTCACATAAGCGAGGCTGCAAGTCCATAAGGCTTACCCTGTCATTCCAGGGATGTCCTGGGAGAAAAGATGTGAAGGATGCTGGTCCTCAGAATTTTAAAACAGACCCGAGAAGGTCCGAACTGATGTCTAGGAACAGCAGGGGCAATTAATCCACAGAAATAACTGCTGGAGAGGAGAAGCTTGCGCTGACAGTCCCAGATCAACACAAAAGCTAAAAGAACTAGAGGCTGTCTGGTGCTGACGCGGCATCATGTGACTGAAGCTGCTCTCTTCTCCACCTCAGGACACTGTAGTTGCATTTGTGGGCAAACGCTAATCATGGGAATATGATCCTTGTAACAATATTAAGGCCACACCTTAGTAGTAGTTTCTCATCCACAAGCACCAGTGTTCAGAAACAAGAGTCAAGCAGCAAGATGAAGGTGGCATTCTCCTGGTCAGACCTAGGTAGTCTGTCTAGAAGACACCGACATTCTGTGACAATTAGGAATGACAATCGGGGGAGATAGGAAGCCTTTGGAAGATAAAAAGGGATTAAACCATGCCCATACTCCAGGTTGAAAGTGTTTATGTTTCTAATAAACTGCACAGTCTTTACCTCAAATTATTGTCTGTAGTTGCAAGTAGTACTGTCTGTGATAGTCAAGACTTATTTTTGGTTATTTTTTCCGGAACACGGCTCCACCATGACAGTAAGAGATAGGCTAACTCTTATGACCCTAAGAGTCCCCAGTATTTTTAATATATCATTGAAAGGGTTTCTCGCTGTGTGATAACATGAAAGGAAGTGTCTGTCTTCTGTATCTGAGTGTGTCTCACTATCTTATCAAACCTTGATTGTACTGCTTGTGTTGTATCAGTAGTGATTTTCAGTAGGTGAAAAGCAGCAATGAGTGCAGATTTGAGGTTTGGGGTCATATTCATTTGTACTCAAATATAAGATACTGATGTTATGCTATTTCTATTTGTTAAATGAGAGAAAGCATCATTGCCACTCTGCCTACCTTTTTAGTGATACTGGTAATGCTTTCCTGAATTAGAGATTTGTTTTCAAAATGATTTAACTGTAACTTGAAAAAAAATACACAAGTAATTGTTAAATACCATATTTATATGGTAAAGGAAAAATCTTGTCAATAAAATTCAGTTATTTTGAAATAGCAATATGTTTAGCATAGGCTACTTAAATACACATTGTGTTGCTTATACAGCTCATAATACTGGAAAAGAAAGAAATAAGCTAACTCTATACCGTATATGCAACTTGCAAATGTTTCACTCTTGTCCATCTTTCTTATCTTTCACCTTCTCTTGGCAAAGATTTCATGGGTAGATAGTCTGTTGAATTATTTCATTTAAAGACTCAGTAAAAAAACAGTGGCTGAATGAGTTAAAAAATAAGGCTAGCATATGCACAGACAAAGTCACAGGCAAAGCTATAATTCCAGGTGGCTATTCACAAGATCACAGGGCGTATCTGTTATCTTCCCTCCCTGGCATCTGATGGCACTCCCTCCACAGCTGTGAGCAGGTGCACTCACTCCGTTCTCTGTACATAGCTAGGGGGCATGGGAAGGGCTCCAAGGCTTCAGAAGTAGAACACAAGCTGAGTTTCAGCCCCTCAGTGAATCCCTTAACTTGGGAATGGTGGCTGTGTAGGATCCATCTGCACAGGCTCATGGAAGCCCAGTCTCAACATTACTCTTCTGTCACTTGCTTTTCCTTCCAAGTCTTCCTTCTGGACCTCAGTGTAGACACCTGAAGTCCAGGCCTGTGGGATCCCAGCTCTGGTACTTACAATATGTGTGATTGGGGGCTCATCTGTTCATCTTCCTGGGTTACTTTTTCCTTCTGTAAAACAGAGATCTGTCTGCATCACCTTTCCCAGGGTTCCTGCTGGAATGCAATGATTCCCACTGAGTTCTGATTTGGATATTCTAGGTCATACTTATTTAATGACAGTCTCACAAGATTGCAGATTAGGAGACATTTTAAGTATTTGAACTTCAAAGGCCTATAAGAGATTCCTGCATCCACCAAGGCCTTAGAGGAAGTAAGGGACCAATGGACAATAGAGAGGCAGTCTGTGCCAACAAGCAGGCCTTTTCCTTTGTTCTGGGTCCTAACATCTCAGAGCATTCTATCCTAGCTCCCCTAATTGTGCCCATCACCCCTAGCTACAAGACCTGCCAGTGGCCTCATTCCAAGACCTGACACTGGACCCAGGCTTGTCACTTAGCCTGAAGAGCCTTGGTAGGTGTTGCTGTGGTGGGTTGCTCTGAAATGGGATAGTGGGGATTAGCGCTGATCCTTTACTCCATTCCAGATGCTGCTGTGAGCTGGAAATCTTAGAGCATGTAGGTAGGGCCTCTCCTTTGACTTTCATTGGTTGTGTGAACACAGTGCCCATCCTCACTCTGCTGGACCATAACATTTTCAACCCATGAAGAAGGTCATCCAGGAATGTGCCGAGGGACACTTAGTTCTGAGAAAAGTTTGCATATCTTGAGACTCTTAATTATCCACATTTCAACAGAAATATAAAGGGAATTGGGATCTGGAGAGGAGTAAAGGGATAGTTCAATGCATGACTTGAAGATGGAAGTACCTGAGGTTAGCCTGGGAGCATCATTGTGAGCCCCACAGCAATGAGTATCCTGGAGTCAGCTCTCCAGGCTAGCTTCCCAGAGGTACCAACCTTCCCTTTCCTTCTACAGCAAGGAACATGGAACGTTTACAACCCAGGCTTTCCCATGCGCCCAACTTAAGGATGATGTGGCTTTAGGCAAGGGACATAATGTCTCTGAACATTTTTCCTCATCCATTTATCTACCAAAAAGTGTGAAAGTGCAACAGAAATGTCTATGGTTTAATTAGGTAATAGGAAAACTGAATGCACATTGCTTCATTTCCTGCTAGCCCTTTAAAAAATATATTATTGCAATGTTCTAAAGATTTGTTTCATTTGTTCATGCTTTACAGTCCTATATCTGTGATGAAAATAGATACATGTTTTAGATTTTTTTATTTTATGTGTATAAATGTTTTGCCTGCATGTGTATATCTGTACCATGTGTGCATCAGATCACTTAGAACTGGAGTTACAGATGGTTATAAGCCATCACGTGGATGCCGGAACCAAATCCAGGTCCTCTACAATAGCTGCAAGTGTTCTTAACCACTAAGCCATCTCTCCAGGCCTCAGTAAATACGTACCTTTACATTATCTAATAAACGAGTGTGAATGAGCTCTTATTTCTGTGTTCATCGAGTGACTGTCTAGAGTCAATGCAAACCAAGTGTGACCACGGCCTTAAGTCAGTAACTGAGGCAGGTCATTATTCTGAACTCAGATCAGTCCCAAAGAACAAGCATCTGCAGCCATGCTCTGGTTTCTGAAGTTTCCCAGAGAGCTTGAGTTTCAGGACAGTTCTCCATTGCTTCCTGACATAGTCATAGAACACTTAGACACTTTTCCACCAGAGGGCAGGAATCACAAAGATAAAAAACAAAACAAAGAGCTTCCCAATAAGACTGTCAGCCTGTGGTTTAGACCCTAGTGTGAAGGATTCTGGGTAGGCTGCCCATTTGACCACTGGTTCTACTCTACTTGGAAATGGCATTACAACAAGTTCCTTCATACAGATGCAAAACATAAACATTTTAACATTTGCCAGTCTCAGTCTCTGTTTTAACCACTCTTAAGTATAGGCAAGGAGTATCCATAAACAATTTTATAACAGATAGAAGAGGCAGTTACAATACAACTGTGTATAAATAGACAGTGAGCCAAATTCGTCCCACAGACTACAGACTGCTAACCCCTGCTTCTTAGCATTTATACTTCTGGTGCTAAAAGTTTTCTATGGGTTTGAGAGTAGTTACATCCTCACATCTACTCTGGTCCTTGGTCAATCACAAGTAAGAGGCCCAGGGATTAGAAAGGCAAAAGAATGAGATCAAATTGAGCAACTCAAAAGGTGAGTCCTGGAGTTACGTGAGATCCGGGTAGTTCAATGCCTAAAAGAAGCTCCTCACTTTCTGAATAAATAGCTGACTGGTTTCCAAGAATGTGTTTATTTTTTGGCTGTCCCAGAGCACTCTGGGTTTACAGGTCAACCACCAGTGTCGTATCTTCTCTTTAATCAACCCTCTTTGCCAAATGTCAGGAGCAAAGTAAGCAAAGCATCGACGTGACTGGGCTCAGGTCAAGTCAAAACACCACCTCAGCTGATCTGAATATCTTTGGAAACTGGTATGATCCAAACAGGTCTCAAATCTCTGTGTTTTCCCCAACATCTTTTCCTGTAGCAAGCCCTCTGGTTCCTTTGGGCTATTGGTATTGAGGAATCAGTGACGGTGAAGGCCCACCTGCACCTGAGCATCTTGCTCCCCCTCCCCCAGTCAGGTGCATATTTTGATGCTTGTGCCAGACTTGGAACAGAACTGAAAAGGCCTATGGCCTAAAGACAGGGCCACCTCACCGTCTTCTATGACTCTTCCAACACCGTTGTCTGAAAGGGAAGTCTAGCTTTAGGGCTGGTCAGGCAGACTGATTTCCATGTCTGCCACACATTTCTAACATTGTTTATCTGCCATGACTTACCATCTGGGACTTGACATTTTCTACACATATGGGCATGTTGTACGCATTAAGACATGCTTCCTGTGGTCGATTTTCCCAGGTTGAGGGCATTTTCCTAAAGCAGAATTAAAGAGTGAGTTCAGCCATTCGAGCTGACCTCATCATCCACAGGTCTAGGGGTCTGGGCCATTTTCTTCACTGTGAGGGTTTACAACGGAGATCCAGGGCACGCTAGTGAGAGAGCTAGCGCCCATACAGTGGCCAGTTGGCATCTCCATGATCAACAGTGGATGGTACCCTGGTCTGCGCTGCCTTCTCCTCCCCCTCCCACATGGAGAGAGACTGCGGCCTGCAGTTCACAGCTCACCTGGAAAGCCTTCGGCTGCTCAAGGGCTGCATGGAGACGCTGAGACAACCTGATGGATCATCTCATAAACAGAGCCTGCAGGAAGGAAAAGAAAATTATGCCAGCAGAATGCACTTATGAGAAATAGATACGTGCGGTGCAGGGAGAAATGCTTTGATATTAAAATTTTTTTGTAACTTAAAAAGGCATGAAAAATGATACCGACCACTAACTAATCAACATTCCTCTGCGAATGCAGCTTCAGTTCCTAACCAAAAACACATCCCCACTATTGTCTTGTCTGAATCCAGATGCAAACATGATTAATTAAGTTTCAGGCAAGGAGAGGGAGGGGGTTGGTCAGGATGAATGGTTCTCCAAGGATCCTTCTTGTACACAGCCTGAGGAGCCTCTCTCTCCCACATAGCAGGGCTTGCCTTATGTGCACCTACAGCCACTGGGCTCTGGAGTGCTTTCATGCTAGTTGGCCAGAGGGTACAACACCAGTGTGCAGACCCTTTTCCAGGAGTCTGCTTCCCTAGTCAGAGCCATCAGACTCTGAAGTGTACTGCAGTTGAGGTCACCCAGCATCCTAAACCATTACGTGTGAAATCTTTGGGGCCACATTGACCTTCCCTGTAAGATGAGAGTTAAAATCCGAATACATGCCTCC